TCAAATCCCTCTATAATAGGCGTAAAGCCGATCATCGTGAGGACCATGTGTTCGGATGCGCTAAGCAGCTGATCGAAGGATTCAGCAAGCGATGAAGTGCTGAGCTTTGGTAGACAATCATGCGACACGAGTTGCACACATGGAGCAGCCGCTGCAAAACCAGTAGCAGCAAGCAAGACAACCCGGTGCGAGATTACCTCCCTGCACCAACTCGCAGGGGTGGAACTGCTGTGCCGTGACGGATACGTAAAGTGCCATGGCAAGGGGGCACGTGGAGTGCACACAAAGGGACATTGATGGCCCACCAAGGCACCCCTTGCCTGTTGTTCTGGGCCATATTCCGCTTTGGAGCGATTGGGTTCTTGCATATTGGACGTAATGTCAAGGACACTGGCTTTGAAGTTAAACCTACAATTGCAGCAGTAGGTAATCGGAGAAGCATAGTGGTACAGCCATCTCATTTGGATCCCTACAATAGCAATGCTGGCCCAGGTTGATTTCCTTTCGAATGAGCCAAAGCATGCCAGATGTGCATATAACTGTCGCAGATTTCAGGAAGACGTACTGACGTCGTTTGGGCTTGACCATCCGCCGTGTCCTCCTACGGTATGGAATCAATCAGTATGGGGGACCTGCAGGAATCAACCGTCGTGGGACACCGACAGGGCTGTGCCATTAATCAAGCGAGCTACCAGTGCCGCTAACTTGGATACTACGCCCAGAGTAATTCCTCCCAGCACTCCTTACACCATGCGCCGCGCTGGTGCCAACACCGCCGTCAACCTACGGCAACGGCATAACGTGCGTTGGATACGTAATATACCACACACCCCATACCGCGTTTCAAACCCGGATTACTCCCACGACGAAGAGGATGCCACAATCAAATGATGCATGTCCGGAAAGATCTTGACGACACGGTTACAAGGCCGACACATGTGTCACCGCCGTTACTGCTATCTTTGCTGCAGAGCAAATGCCCTATGAAACTCGATCCGAAGAGGGGGTGGTATCTTCTGCAATCTAGGTATCGACACCGCGCGCGTACTGTGCTGTGCTGCGGGAACAAAGGGCACGACACCGGCGCAACGGTCGAACACCGACTGATCGGAGTCCTCACAACAACATCACTGACTGCTCTCGGCGCCATCTAATTCACAGCAGCAGCAGGCACACCCACCGGGACTTCGGCCATATCCAAGCGGACGAGCTCGGCCCCAGGTTGGGCGGGGATCTCGTACTCTGGCGGACCAAACGCGCCCGTCTCCTCTCCCCCCCCCTGCTGCTCGCCAGCCCCTACCACCATCCCTAACGTTGAAACAGAATGAGCATCCCCTCTCCCCCTCTTCCTCCTCCTCCTGTTGCTCGTGCTGGCTAGCCGCTGGTTGTTGCTGCTGCTGCTGAATCTGCTGCTGCTGCTGCTGCTGCTCCCTTTGACCACCAAGTTGACGTTTGAAAAGCAGCCGACGCCATGCTGGCTCCACGTCGAGCACAGGGCGGCCCTGCTGCGAGCTGCGGCCCGAGAGGAGGAGGAGGAGGAGGAGGAGGAGCCACCAGCTCGGAAGGCCCGCGGAACGGCAGGCAAGAACGACGAGACGCGACTGCTGCCGACGAACAGCAGCAACGCTGCTGCCGGCCGCGTGAAGTTCGACATGCTAGACGGAGAAGGAGAGGACACGGCGTTGTTACTGCTCGCTGTCTGCTTGGAGTTACTGCTGTCGCCGTGCAATTATTTCTTGTGTTGGCTTCAATAGAGCCGTGGCGAGACCCCTTATTGCGGTCCTGGGGACGACGCCTTGCGCCACCCAGCTTACTTCTTAGCCGCGTGTCGGTGGAGGCGGCGGCACTGTCAGGCCGCACGCAGGATTCCTCTGAAAACAAGAAATGACAGCGCCTGCCTAATCTACAAAAACCTGATGGATCTGCCGCGCAGAAGCGCCGGTCAGGTCAAGTGTCACATCTAGCGGCCGCGTATCCATGCATCATGATGAGGTAGGTGGGGCTTCCAGCAGAGAGGAAAGAAAAAGCAGTTAGTGACTTGGGAGTGCGTCGCGAGAGAGCTAGAGCGAGAGAAAGCGATGCAGGGGAGGTTGTTGTACTCCACCGGCGGAAAGTCCCACCCGCTGTCTTTCGAGATATCGTTGTGGATCTTACAGCAGTGTTGTTGTGCCGCCAAAGGTAAACACACCACTACCCTGTTTTCCGCATACGGGCAGCTTGCATATTTTCTCCCTTGTGTGTACACGGCTGAGAATGAAGAGTGCAACAGGTTGCAAGTTTCCTCGCGAGCGGACTACAGTACTAAGTACAGAGAGCGTATTCTATATCTAGAGCTGCACCTCCTGCAAGGCTATGTACAGCAGTCCTACATGTTTAACGCTGAATTGGTCGCGCAGCGCGAGGCTTGTGAGTGCAGGGTGGCGGAGCTCCGCCGTGAGCAGCAGGCGCTCGAGATTCTGGAGGCGCAAGGGCGGCAGCTCGTAGACGATGCTAACATCGTTCGGGGTGAGCGTGAGAGGATCTTCCGGCGTGCAGAGGAGAGGGTTCGCCAGCGTCGCGACACCGGCCGCATCGAACGCCCCTCGTCGCGGAGGACGGACTCAGCCCGCACAGCAGTCGCGTGGCCCTCGCCGCGGACCTCCCAGACCCGGCGCTCGGCCGCCTCCCTCTCCGCGCGACGCTGGCGAACCCTCTCCTCTGCACGCCGGAAGATCCTCTCACGCTCACCCCGAACGATGTTAGCATCGTCTACGAGCTGCCGCCCTTGCGCCTCCAGAATCTCGAGCACCTGCTGCTCTCGGCGGAGCTCCGCCACCCTGCACTCACAAGCCTCGCGCTGGGCGCGCACCAATTCAGCGTTCTCCCTCCGCGCCGCGAGAGCCTTGCGCTTCTCCGCGACGACATCCTGCTGCACTTCGGCCGCCCGAGCTGACACGGCCTCTTCGAGACGGCGCTGTATGTCTAGGTCGGCGGCAGCCGCCTTCCGCGCCGCTTTCGCGGCCTCCACCGCTTGCTGGGCGGCGAAGCCCTCAATTGTGGGCGGTCGCCGGACCGCAGGTGCTCCGGCGACCGGCGAAGGGGCGTCCAGTCCCCCGGCGGGCGACGCGGCCCGTGTAGAACGACGAAGCTCGGAGGCACCGGTACGACGAGCCTCGGAGGCACCGGCTACGCCAGCCGCGGGCACGCTGGCAACCGACGATCCGACCGGAGTGGCAGGCCCAGCCTGGCGCTGTGCCTGCCGGAGGCGCTCCTGCGCCGCCCGAAGACCGGCTTGAGCCGCGGCCACGTCGGAGGCGAGCGCAGCCTCACCGGACTCACCAGCATCGGACCCCTGCGAGTAAGCGTCCGCCGACAACGGGAAATAACGATTTTCGGTCAAAGTTGGCGCGGGAGCACGCGAAGGCTGGCGGCACGCTACCCTTTTTGCGGAGCGACGGAACGCACACCCGACTCACCCCGACTCGCACGGCGCACCACCGCTTGCGAGTGCGCCGCTAGCGCATCGTCTGCCGCTTGCAGGTCCCGAGCGAGCGCAAGCGAATCGGCCAGGCGCGGGTCAGCAGCGTCGTCCGACTCACTGAAAGACCGCACAAGACGGAGAGTGGCCGGCAAATCCGGGTCGCTTACCACGGGAGACAAGGGGCCGCGGCGGTCACTCAGCAGCTCCGCGAGCAGCTGCTCCCGATGCTCCACCGACCAGCTCCCGACTAACCCGGAAACAAGAGACACGGAATCTGAAACGACAGGACGCCGACTCACCGGATGCGTCAACGCTGCAGCGCCCTGCGAGACCCGAGGGCTGGCCGCCTCCGCCACCTGACCGGCCAGCACCAACCCGCTGGCCGCCGCCTCCGCAGAGGTCGCGACGATGGCGTTGGCGAGGTCACCGCCATCCGCATCCTCGCCGGAGGCACCGGCAGCCTCCGAGGAGTTGTCCACAGCCGCCGACGGGGCCTCCGAGACCAGCGACGCCGCCGCTGCAGGCGCGCCCACCAGGGCGCCCTCCTCGGAGTCAGAGCCTGACAAGACCGGCGCATATGAGCGCGAATCAGCGACACGGGGCGAAAGGTGACGCGACGAGCGTGCGGGAGTACGGGCGGGCGGCGAGTCCAGCACCACGCGACGCGGCAGGTACTCACTTAAAGTCGTCCGTCGCCCGGACCGATGCGACTGCGACCGCGTGTCCGGCGCACTACGCACGCGCGGAGACGTTCGAGACCTACCCGTCGTACCCCGCTGAGGGGTCCGACCCGACTGTGACCGAGTTACCGGCCCCTGACGCACACGTTGCGACACACGGAACCCACCTGACGCACCCCGCTGAGGGGAGGACGACCCGGAAGGCGGAGGCGATGACGCAGCCGATCCCCCGGCAGACCCAGCGGCGCTCATCGCGCCGACCGCTCGCCCTCGAGGCGCAAGGCAAAACACGCACCTCCGACGAACGCGGTCCACCGCGACGCCCGTTACGCACGCGACCCCGACGACACGGCCCAGCACGCACCTCCCCGGCGAACGCGAACAGGACAGCAGCGCGCTGCTCCGACCGCGGCGATGCTCGCACAGCCCTCACCGACCACCCGTGCGGTGTCGGCGAACCCCTGCTGCCGAGGTCCTCGAACGGACCCTCACTCGTCGGAGACGCGGCGGCAACCCCCCCGAGGGTGGCAACACGCGTGTCGCTCGTCGGACGCAGCGGCGACGCTGCGGACGAACGCAGACGCGACACGGTGCTCGTGACACGGCGGAGAGCGGCGCGCGCCGGCGACAGTGGCGACGCGACGCACGCGTTGCCGACCCGTGGGCCGAGCGGCGAGACGACGCTCGCAGCTTCGAGCGCTTCGGCGTCTGCGCGACGCGGAGAACGCTACTCGGAAGACCGCACACAGCTGCCCACGCGCAAGCAAGCTCGTCCCAACCTATCCTGCCGCTGACGCCACTGAGAGGAAAACTGATACCACCTCTTTAGTTCTGCAGTTCTGCAGGTTCTACTTGTAGCTTGGACGTGTGTTGCACTTGCGTTCAAGCGTGGCTTTGTGTGTGCCCTGCCGCAGCAGTTCGTCTCTTGTGGACTCATTGTTGACTCAAGCTTGTTCTGCTCACAGTTCTGTACGGCGAACTGAGGGTAGGAAGCAAGAGTGATCTGGTGTGCGAGGCTTAACGGAGCCAAGCTTCCGGACGGTCCTACCTCAAAGGTCATCCGTTATACAACGACACACGTCACCCATGTAATATCTCATCTTGTCTCTCTGATTGGCCCAACTTGAACCTATGGTGGTACACTTGCAACTATTTGCTGTACTTCCTGCTGAGAACTGGCCCAAGGTCATCACTGTACGCTACAGCTGCCTCTTAGTCGTATCTGCTGGCCTAACCGGTCGGTCCTGTCGTCTACACAGTCGTCAGTCCCCTACACACACCGACGGTCCATAACAGAAGATAATCTGACAGTTACTCTGAGTCCAAAATAACGCCTCGAGAACTATAGTGTACTAAGGGAATGGCACATACAAATTGAAATGACTACCAAAACACACTGCTGCTGTGTTGTCTGATGTACAGCCTAAAGCAACTCGACGGACGCTGCCCAATGGACCGAAAATCCAGGCGAGTCATTCTGCTAGGCCGGGTGTACGAGAAGTTGCGAATGAGATTTTCCTATACACCACCCGGCTACCCACCGCCGCAGCGCCAACGTTCGTGTACGAGGTACGAATGGGTGGCGTACAAGAGCACGTTTGCATGTGTATCTTACCGGTGTGTTTGCGTCTGCCTCTCTGTCGGCGAACTTATTGCACGCGGGGTTGGACGGAAAAATCTGGCAAGTACATAGGTAAGAAAGGACATCGATAGTCTTGACCACACGGTACCATGTATGCATAGGCGAAAGAAAGAGAAACCTTTGTCATAATGATGTGGCGCAGGTGGAGAGCGTGCGTGCGGATCTGATGGGTGTGAGGTTCGGGATAGACTTCACCGGCTCCACAAACTTCGTTATACTTCCCTCGGTGACAGCCAGATCTACAGCACTCCCCCCCTCGACGTCGGCAACATCAGCAACAGCAGCAGTAGAGCCGGCAAAATCGGCAGTAAATGGCAACATCGAGCAGCAGGACGCATCTTCAACTGCAGCCGTAGCAGCAGTAGGGGTGGTAGGATCCTCGGGAGTAATATCCACCAACGGGGAAGGAAGTGAGGGGGACAGCGAGAAGAGGAAAAGCGCTGCAAAGGATAGAAGTACAGATGAGCCGATATCCCCGGCAGAAGAAAGAGGGTCGCCAAAGGGGAAGCGTGATGGCGACGGGAAAGCAACAGGAGGGGGTGGCGAGATCCGGAACACGATGGCTGCTCGCGTCTCGACCGAGGCGTTTTGTCGGGCGGTAGTGGCAAGGGTGACCGTCCGGGACCCCAAGGTCGGGGGCACGTTGAAGGTATGGAGGCTGTTGCGCTGCCTTGTTGGCAGCATTAGTCTGCCAAGCCGTTTGCAGTCCACGGTCGTCATATTGGCGTTGCATGCAGTGTCCCTGCTTTCACCATCAGAGAAAGGAGAAGAACGAAACACGGCGTAGTTTGTAGAGGCGCCATCTTCGGCAGAAGAAACCAAGCCCGCAACGTCTCGTGAGCGATTCATGTCGATGTAAACTCTTGAAGCGAGAAACTCATCCACTGGAAAACTCCCCGATGTTTAATTGTCCTGGCCGCTCTCGAATATTCCCGTTGATGCTGACTTCGTGATCGATTGGACACCATGTTGAAACACCAATGGGCGTTGCAGACCTCATGCAGCTGGGAGCTGCTGGAGCCTTCTGCTTCTCCGGTACCTGTAGGGAAGGCAAGCAGGGAAAACAAGTCTACCGCAAGCATTCGGCGGCAACTCCGTTCGGCGCAATCTCTGGGGCTGGCGGGTACACGCGACGATGGCGCAGAAAGGCTAGCCACGCAGCGCTCGGAAGAGATCGTCAAGCGCTGCGGAATCCACGGGGTGAGAGCAGACGCGGTGGACAAAGAGATTCCAACGTAGCCGGGGGGGGGGGGCTTAGTCACGTAAGTGACTGGTATTTCAACCCGTAGAAATCGAACCTGGAACAATTGGCCTTAGCTGTCTTTTCACCCTCTGTCTAGGTCTCACGCCGCGGAACTGTTTCTTTTGCGGAACTTGCGGCAGGTCCTCTATATAGACCTGGAGTTCCCACCAAACGATTCTTCTCTCGGACCTAGCCTGGCCGCCAGCGGTTTGGTAACTTGGCGCCGCCCCATACAATTCGACTGCGGCTCCGCCACCGCTTTTGGAGGGTACGGGCGACCGTTACCATCGGACGTGCGGCCGTGCCCGTTCGCGGCGGACGCATCTCTGGCGTGCGCGCTGGCCGCGCTGGCGGAGCGGCCCTGTCTTGTGAGCGCCGCTCTCTGCGGCAGGGTGGAGGAGGTGGTGAGCTCGTCGTGCGCGAGCCGAGGGTGCGATGGTGGCGGTCGACGAGGAGGAGGAACAGGAGGAGGAACGACTGATCACGACGGGAAAGACTTTCCATCGGAGACAGCAGTCGCCAACGGTCGAACGGACGAGAATAGAAATGGCCGCGGGGATCACCTCGCGCTACGAAAGAGAACCGGAGTGGCCACAGCAGAAGCGGCGGCGAAGGCCTTCATGGCAGCTACGGAATCGGGCATATTTTGCGCTCGGCTCTGCGCCGACGGCGTCTGGAAGGAGTACGTTCTGGACGACTTTTTCCCTTGTCTTTCCTCGTACCCAGAGCGGGGAGGAGGTAGCGATAGCGGCGGAGGCGGGCCTTGCCTTTCACGGGCGCACGGCCCCGCTCTGTGGGTTTCCATGCTCGAGAAGGCGTACGCACGGGTGGTGGGGTCGTACTCGGCAGCACTGGGAGGGTGCTGCTTACCGTGTGGGCCAGCGAAAGAGCGGGAGGAGACGGAAGCCAGGGCCGCAGCGAGCGTCGTCGCGAGGCCCGCCAAGGTGTTGGGGGTGCTCACGGGGTCGCCGGTGTTGCAGGTTGATCTGTCGGCAGGCCGGAGGAGAGCGAAAGATGGGGAAGGGGTCGGGGTGCGGGAGGATGAGGACGAGGAGGTGGCGGGGGAGCTGTGGGGGAGCATTGTGAGTCGTGTAATTGGTATGGGGCATCGTGGTTGTGGTTGAGGCTTTTTGCAGAACAGCTGTATGTGCAGCACATCGTGCGCGATCGAGAGGCCCGACATACAGTACACGCCTGTGAAATGACTGCCAGAGAGAACACAAGTAAGGGTCAAGCCAAGACACAGCACTGGATACGATGCGCTCATAGCACCGCAACAGCACCGGGCTCCAGCACAGAAAGCATCAGCACTAACGTTTACCCACCCGTGGTGCGGTGTGTTGTTCGTCTCTCCCACGGCGTCCCCGGCTAGATACCCTTGACCGTACGTACATGGTCTGAAACAAATCATCCGACGCGTCGCAGTATCATCGAGATTGAAGCGAATGCATGACGGTCAACTGCCAGAGGCCTAACATCGCCGGACGCGCAGCCTCAACCTCAGACATCATACCTCCCCGGCCATTTCTTTCTCACCCTAACGCGCAGGTGTCCTGGGCACGGCAGGGCTGGCTGGTGTGTCTCAGTACTCCGTCGGCGGAGACGCCCGAGGGAGGGGTTCATCAAGAGAGTGGCGAATCGTGGAAGGTCGGTTCGACTTGGCGTCGACCGTGCGTCTTTTTGAGTGACAAGCCCATTGGATGCCCTAGTTATCAGTACAATTGAGCAACATTTCTTGGAGCTCCAGAAAACCGCCATGGACTTGGAAGCGGTGACGTTCGCACCCTGTTTTAGAAGTTTCATTACTGGCTGCACATGGGGATTTAGGTTGAGCTACTGGTGTGCCTTCTGAAACCCTAGGATCTTGCAGGTCACGAGCGTCTCGTTTTGGCTCGGGAAGTGGGTTTTCGGCATCATCTCGTGGGCCCCCGTGCACGGAACACGTGCTCTTCATGCGACGTGTATTGTCATGCCCGCAGCCCCCGGGTCGCCCTACGCTTCGTCGACACAGAAACGGTCTAAATGCGTGTGACAAGACATGGAACACCGCCCAAACTCTGGCCCTGACCCGCACCCACGAGCTTGGCCTCATCCCCTGACCTACCCCCCCCGCTTGAAAGTGGCATCGTTCTAGAAGGCCTACCAAGTGCAGCTAGCCTTACCCTGACCCTGACCATGACTTCAATCCTGATCTTGAATCCATCGCACCGTCGCGTATCCCTCTAGGACGGGCTTCGCCTGGGCTACGCTTACACCGTGCTCCAAACGGCTAGCGTCGGCAGCGGCCACAGACTAGTCCGTCTCCGCGGCCCACTGCTTCCCAAGGAAGGGTGGAGGGGGAAATGGACGGACGACAGCCCGCTTTGGACACAGGAGGCGTTGATCGCGGCCCAAAACAGCTGCCCAACCCACCCGGGGATGTCTTCCTACCGACTTGAAGAACCGGGGGCGTTTTGGGTTTCCATCGAAGAAGCTGTTTCTGCGTTCGTCGAGGTCGGCGTTTGCATGGTGCCGCTTCCTCCCCGGACGGGGGGAGATTGCCGCGGGCATGAAAGGATTCTCGGTGGGTCCCGGTGGGCCCACGAGGTGCGGAGGCGTGTTGTGTTCAAGCGAAGACGAGACAGAGCGGGTGGGGGGCAGGGATCTGGCCGGGAATATTGGGGTTCAGGTGGGGGCACGGCGGGAATTGGAGCTGCTCAGGGGAAAGAGGAGGGTGGTCGGGGAGAAGAGGAGGAAGGTGGTATGCTCTGGGGGGCATCCCAAGTATACGCGCTCTCTGTCTACGAGACATCACGGATATTCTTCTCCGTCTACCAGGTACCTTCTTTGTATGAGAAACTCCTCGGCGTGACAATCTTGTAGGTTCTTGGCTGAAGACTATATTCCAAACATGATTTGTGCGGTTGATCTTGAGGAGGACGAAAGGAAGGAACGAAAGTAGAGCGATATTTACTACGGTGCTCTTGAATACTGTCTCCCTTGGTGTACACGGGTATTTGGCTGCCCAGCATCGAGTAGGGAACGCGCACGTGACCGGTGTAACTACTGCAATATTCTTGTCGACTACCGCACCAGGTGTCGTCAGGACAGCATCCTCTATTGTTCCCATGCTTTCCGGAGAGAAAAAGGACCACAACAATGAGTATGCTCCCTCGCAGTTATGCCTACCGTGTTTTCCCTTCACGCGGCGAGGTACCCAAAGCACCTTCTCCGCGTATGAACGGCGTCAGTACTTGTGGTTCAGAGGCGTACAGGCAGACTCGACATGATATTGATTGTTGTCTGTGATAGGTAACGTCTGTAGAACGAACTTCGCTCCACAAAGAGGCCAACGATCCCCACAAGCGCTCAACTTCGAACGGGATCCTGTGAGAATATAGGCTACAGCAGAAAAGGCAAGAAGGCCAGACCATCGTTAGTGTAGTAGTGTCGCTACTGAGAGAAGGAAATACGACTCCGTCTTGGACGGCACGCACGCGTGGCCAGCAGTCTAACAACCAAAGCTGACAGCCAACGAGAATGCCCCCGCCCCCCGCTTCAAATGGACCACCGCCGCACTGCTCACCGACCACAGGAAAACCGCTCAGATAGCGCCAGCGGGGTCTGCTGGAGAGACGTGGGAGTCACGGTGCTGCGCGTCAGGGACGGCTGTGGGCCAGAGGTATGCCTTGTCGCTACGTATAGTGGGAGGAGAACACGCCACAACCCGGCGGAGCTACCTAAAACTCGGGCTCTTTGAACGCTTCAAAGGCTGATGTTTCGGCCGGGCGTTTTCTTGACGCCTGTTCCAGCACCGTTACCTTCGATATCACGATTCTCGACACTGTAAGACCAACTCGAGTGAGTACGGTCGGCCTCAGCCCACCGCGTGGCGTAACAACCCGTACCCCCAGTGTTTTTCTCTCCTCCGTGCTTCCTTTTTTTTTACCCCCACCTCTTGCTTCCTTTCTCGATGACAGGTCGTCGCCTCCACTGGTAACCCCGCCCAGGCTTCCGTTTCCACGGGGACCGTCCTGTTCCCGGGGAGGTACGTTGTCATCCCCTCCTACACTGGATGTGTCACGAAAGACCAGGCCCTTCAGGGGAACTCAGAGTTGGGCAACAAGAACAATCATCCCGTCGGGGTGGACAATAATGATCCTTTGGGAAAGGATGAAGCTCCTCACCAAGATTCGAACAGCGGGCACCCCTTACGGACGGCAGAAAGTAATCCCCGCGAGACAAGCAACGAGAAGACGTGGAGGGAAGGAGCCGAGGCGAAGAAAGGGCGCGAGGGCGAGGAGGACTCGAAGAAGGAGGCGGAGGTAGGGTTGTCGTTCGATCAACCCGAGATCTTGAAGGGGCTGATGACCATGTTCGAGGGCCTCGATGCCGACTGTGACGGCGTCCTTTGCAGGGAAGAGGTAAGGGCGCGAGACCGGGCGCATCGTGCGGTCTGAAGGCACAAAGCCGGGCGTCTTGAAGCTACGTGTTGGGGGAGAAGTTTGCTGTCGCTGATGCTGTTCGGGCGAGGATAAGGCTGAAGGTTGTTCTTTCGAACCTCGACGCTAAGTACGACGGCGTCTTGTCCACAACGCGAATGAGGAGCGCACCTCACCCTGCTCTCTTAACGGGTGGGTAAGGACAGTACTATCTCCTGTGAAGTTATGCGTGGTCAGGGTTGGTGTCTGTTGGAGCCGGCGTGCTACTTAGCTGTCCAGATCATGGCGTCTGGTAGACGGAACAAGGGGCGAGGAGTGTCACCGTGCGGCTTGGTCCTTGCCTCGAGCAGCAAGTGACACAACTCGGTGGCGTTGTCGAGAACGCGACACATCTTCCCCGGTAGTGTACAGACGTCGGCAGCTTGCCGCGAGCTCGCCGGAAGTGTGATTGATATCACACACACAACACAGAAAAGCTATACGCATGATGTCCCACCAGTCAGTACCAATACACCATCACTCCCCCCCCCGGTCGTTCACAGCTGGACGCCTTTCTACGGACCACGGAGGGGATCCCACTGCAAGACGATGTCTACGTCTGGCTCGTGCGGAGCTTTTCTTCTTGTCCCAGACCATCGGTTCTCAAAGACACCCACGTAAGTGGCCATGCCGAGACCCCCCGGCGGGTGGGAGCAAAGGGACGTCGGCGTCCGCAGCGACAAGGACGAGCGTCGCGAGCCCCGCCCGCTGGAATCGAAGACGACGGGGGTTGTGATGGTTGTCACGGGGGCGGAGGCGTGCATGATGTCGACTTGTGCTTGACACGGCATGGGTTTGTGGAGATGTATCGGTACATCTGGCAGGCCGCCGGGCGGGACTTCGGGGTGAGGAACCGGTGTTGTAGGTGGTATCGATGGTGACTTCATCATGACCGTACGCACCATTGACACGTGTTGTTTGATTGGGGACATGGGTACTGGCGGTGGTGGTGGGGTGATGTTGAGCCTAGAACGATGTTACTGAAACGACCCCTAAATGTGTAATTTTCTTTCATCCGAAGCAGGTGGTTATGCGAGACCTTCGCTTCGCGGAGTGTCATGATGCACGTTCGGAAGAGAATCGCCCCTCGGTCGTAGTTGCCGTGCATTCCGACGTCCAGGGTTTCGATTTTCTGGCGCAGGTAAAGAAGATAGCGATTAATTGTCCCCGCACGAGCGAGCGCAGCGGTGTGTGCGGTATTGTCGATGTGGTTTCCTCTCGTCTTCAGGATAAAAACGCCCGAGCTCGTGAGCTTGTAGGTAAACTTCGGCCACTCGGTGTTCACTTCGAACGAAGCAAGTTCTGGTGGAGTTGACAGGGTGGATCGACTAAAGAAACTGGAGAAGGAAGTTCGGATGTTTATTTAATGTAGTCGAGTTGAACAACCATGTACTCGGATTCTTGACGAAGCTGTGCACTCGGAAGTGGTAAAGTGAAGCTGAATACATACCCGTGGTTACACGTATTGAGTATGCCTCCTCCGGTACAGTAATGACATGAATCAGTGTAGAATCGTAATTTGAAAGGTGTTGCGCCATTTTAAGGGCGATCGACGTCTAACCGACTTAGCGACGAGAGGACTGCTCAAGAGCACCACGACCATGAACCGACTCGAATCGGCCAACCAAGCCTTACCCAACGCAGGCCATTCTCCCCCGCTTTAATCAATACCCACCGATGATCGATGTGCTCCTCGACCTGTCGGTCTCCGAAACACTGCTATTCGTGTCGCAGCCACCAGATCCTGAGCTTCTGGAGGCAGCCGTTGCCCTCCCAATCCAACGCTGGGGGTATCCTTCGCCTGGCTACCCCGATCTCGCAAGCCCACCACCGGTGGAGCATAGCAGGGCGTTGGCCACCATTGCTTCAGGATCGAACAAGACAGGCGCAACAACAACAGCCGAAATGGAGACAGCCACAACGGCATCGGTGACGGGACACGAAATCACCGCCACCTTCAACAATGCAAGTAGAACAGACGATGACAACGAAAACGAAAGCAACAAAGCGCGCATCATCATCGATGACGCTGCCAACAACAACAACAAGAGCGGGCTGCTGCTGTACGTGAGGCCCGGGCCAAAGGGGGCCGAAAATGCCGTCACGTTTTTGGTGCAGAGTCCTATCCATTTCTTCAGCGTTAGGGCTCGTCTCGACTGCACCGGGAGCGTTAACGCGTCTCCCATGCCCGGCTCCATCGGGCTTTCCAGGGAGGTGAGGCTTGGATGTGCGGGTATAGACTACTGTAGGTGTTCGATGGGACACACACACACCGGGGAAAACCGACTTTGGGACACACCGATGTGCTACATGGGAGCCTGTTGCAGAAATGCCACCCTGAGATATGTCCAGTATGCCCGGATAGGTTAAGGCGACAAGGTGGCGTGGACAAAAACGAGGTTACCGGGCCGGTTGGTGTCCTCCCAGGCCAGTCAACCTGTTGCCACGCAGGCACAATTATGAGCGAACACGCAGAAGATTAGAGTGTCGCCTATCAACGGAACTACAAGTCTACTGTGTGGCAAGTTGAAAATCTGTCTCCCTTGGCGAAAGAGAGAAGAAATGTGTTAACACACGCCACCCAGAAGGTATTGACCCGTGAAAACCATCCGCCCTTGGGTACCGTAGGAACGCATGTAAAGAACACGACAGGCACCATCAGACTTTGCGAAACCCATCCTCTCCTCTTGCTCGCGTGTATCTTCGTTTCGTCTATCGAATGTTTTCTTGTCTCGGCTGGTGGGCCTTCCCGCAGGTGACGCTGCTCCCTGGGCAGTCTAAAGTTATCCAGCATCTCGTGCCTACAGACCCCCGTACGCCGTGGTCTTGGAAACACGCACCGTTGACCGTGGACACCCTCTAGTGCTACGTAGATATATACATAGATAGGCCGTGTGTAGGCTTAGTTTAGACTGGGAGTCGATGTTAATACGAGGAGGAGATCAGGTCGTTCGTCAGATAAAACACGAAGAGCATTAAACGTCGCGTTTGGCTTACCAATGATGGAACCGTGTTTGTCGGAGACATGGCGTTCGATGTTGGTGGGCAAGTATGTGTGGTTATGCAAACGGGCGGAGAACGGGCGGTTGGAAAATCTATGTTTTTGAAGCCTCATGTGTACTGACTGTGGCCGACCGTTGTTGGGGTTCAGCGAAGGACTGGATACCGGAGAGGATTTGGGCCTTGACAACGACAACAATCGTATCCAATTTGTCTTCGGGCATTATAGAAGCCGAAACCAAACCATTAGACTAGTCAGCGGCTGTTTGGTCTAATGGTTTGATTTCGGCTTCTATAAAAGTTAGTCGTGGAGTTCGTGGGCCCCGTCACTTTCACTTCCGAGGAGGGTGACTCCCCTTGCCAGCGCTGCTATCCGTCCAATCTTTACTTCGCTTCATATCACTCGCCACCCACATCCTGCAGAATGTTCCAGGGTCCACGAGTCCTTCCGTCACCCATACTCTGGCCGAGAGTATCCAGGGTCTCAGGAAAAAAAACACTTCAAAGTGTCCAGCTTGGGTCTCGAACCAACGACTTACTTGTATAGAGGCCGGCATCACCATTGGACTAGGCAGCGCTGACTAGTCAGACTAGTCAGCGCTGACTAGTCTATCCGTTTGATTTCGGCTTCTATAGCATGCACGAACAACAACAACAACGAACGGCAATAACTCGTGCATTGCCCCTTTTGCCCCTGGAACAGAAGGCACCAGTACTTCCCAACGCAACCAAAGCGCACTGTCGTGTCTTGCCAGGCTGACGGGGAATAGGGAGTAAATTGAACTACACCGTACGTAATGGCCTCTGTTTGAACTCCCCGAGGAGCGCAACCAACAGTTCGTTATGCTGTGGAGAACAAGCTCGTTCTCAGAAGCGTGTTGCTTCCACAAAATAAAAGAGAACGGGTTGCTACTTTTTCTGTTCGGGCCACTTCCCAGACACACACTTTCGACACCGCTTTATCTTGGGAAAGCGGCCCCAAGCCGGTCAAAGACCCATTTGAGCCTGATATCCGCGACCCTACCGTGGCTCGACTGTGTGGTTTACATTTTAATGGAAAGTAGTGCTTCATTGGCTGCGGGAAATCCAAATACGTATCTAGGCATACAGGTGCGAAAATCACCTAACCTTGAACCAAACGCACGATACATTCAGTGCGCGATCCCTACCGTGGCGACACTGGCCGCACTGTTCCCTACCGTGGGTAAGCTATTGATGCAAATATATCTAGGCACACAGTGCATAAATCAGCCCAAACCAACAGCAACACTTAAACCCGGTCGACTGCTTAATACCCCGCCTCCCTCAACAACGATGCCCCCCCCCCAAAAGGGTCGAACTTCAACAAGTTCTCCCGCGTGGAGAATCGAGATGTGCCAGAATATCTACACCCAAGTTATGATTCCGCCCATTTCTCGCCCCGCCCATGTTAATTCAAGACACGCCCTACCAACAGCGTCGGTCCTAACAGGCAGGCACACTTTGGCGATGCAACTGTAGTACCCCCGCCGATCTGCGGGCCACCTCTTTACGACGAAGGCTTTCTGACATGTAGATGCAACGTACGATGATCCCGGCCCTGCGAGGCCCGAACGTCTTAAACACAACAATCACGAGCCCCCCCCCCGGTTGGGTTGCGTACTTCGATAGGTAGAGTAAAATGAAAACTAGTGCTCACGAGAAGAGAGCAGCAAACTGCTTTTTGGAGGCAACATCTTCCAAGTGGGAATGGGTCAACTCGCGTGTGCACTTAAACCATTCCATAAATATTGTTGCCATGATATCGGCCGAAGGCGTCAATACATCGTCACGGAAGCAGTCCGCGCGCATCTAGCAGACTACACCCTTGTAGAACATCAATCGAAACTCTACATTGGGTAAAAAAGACACAACAAGGCGTCACGAAATAAACGCCAGGCGGCACAAAAAAAGCACGGTGCTTGCTAGCCTTCTGAATCTACGAGGCACAACTCACAGCTAGAGAGTATCTCATAGCACACCTGCGCAAAAAAAAAAAAGACTGAAGGATATGGTATGGGGATGGCGCACTGCAATTCTTTGGCGCAGACGCACAGTGCATCCGCTAGCAAGAGGAAGTACACAAGGAAAACACGGTCATCGATGTAAGTAAGTGTGGGCGTCGCGAAGGAGCCAGGCCACACACGGCCTCGAATATGGAAGACGACGCGTGCGTGTAGAATGCACCGCAGGCTCCGCTAAAAAAGATCATGCTAGAAACTTCGCACGTACTTCACAGCACGACCACCGTGCTCTAGGGCAAGACTGCAAACCAAGGCAATCCAGTCGGGTCGGAATTATCTCACGACCCCGGCACGCCACTAAAAAAACGCACAAAACGTACGTCAAAAAAAAAAAAAAAAATGTGACCCAGTTTGGTATCAGCCAACACAGGCTCCAGGGGTGAACTGGGTCAAGAAAACGCGTGGACTGCAGAAGTCATGAATGACTCCCTCGTTCCACAAAATAAACACGGGCGTTCGATCTCCTTCGTGTTCGAACTTTCGTTCTGAGTGCCCTACTTCTTGCCACTACAGCTAATACCCTGATGCTCGTCTAACAACCACACGACTTGGGAAGTAATCCCCAGAAAGCAGTCTCCCAGCAGCATCCAACCACTGGCAGGGTACTGTATAACAATGTGAAAAACAGATGCGGTGGTGGTACGCCTCACGTTGCCATCTTTCGGCACATACATCGGCCACAGAATGTGCTGCGCGGAGCCGGTAAATAGTTGATCCTTGAACATGTGCCCCTTTCCTGCTTCACCAACACCACTCTTCAAAATAAAACGAACAATTGAAGGAAAACAGCTACGGCGAAGGGAAAGCAAAACCGCACGTCTCGGCACCTTTTCTCTATTATTGCCAAGATTGCTGACCCCCTCTGACTCTCCGAGGGATTCGTCCACCATCCGTCTGCCAGAAGCCAACAGCCCCCCCCCCCCCCCAACAAAAAAGGATTTCCAGATAACCGCACGTGAACAGCAAGCCTCGGATTCAAACATTCGCCTAGAGGCAACAAAACCAGAGATTCAGGGAACCCCACGCCTACATCGGGACGCCCAGCTGACCACAAAAAAATGATGGTAGCCATAATCGGATGGCACGACTAAAAAATAAAACTATTCCGCCCCAAGACCTCAATACCAACGTCTCTTCCTTTCTACCGTATCATAGGTTGCATACGATACCACACACCCCTGGACCGATTTTCAAAGCTCAATTACTCGACGACGAAGCACGCGCCGAGTCCAAATGGTACGTTTTAGGAAAGCTTTCGACGAGACGACGGTTCCAACGCCGCCGTTCTCGGCGCCGTCACTGCGTTTCCTCCCGAGAATCGGGCTTTGAAAAAACGGCCCAGGGTGTGTGATATCTTCCGTCATGTCACCTACGGCATCCCTTCCTCAAACAAAACCGCGTGTCATTTTCCGTGGAAACACGCTCCCCTTTTCTCAACCCACTACTCAACGTCCCACCAACCCATTCCACACGCTATACGCTATACCCCCAATCACGCACGGGGAGCACAACTGGTTCGCCATGGCTGCCTTCACACCCAAATATACCGCGGCAGTGTGTGTGGGAAGCGTGCAGCAAAGCAATACCTGAAGAGAGCAAATGGATGCCTCCATCCGCCCCCCGCTGCGTGCAAATCCACGTCATATCCGTTGCATCTCATTCCGTGTGAAAGTTCCGTCTCGATTCATTTGTTTTTTTTTGTCAATGGTTCCAAGACCAAGGTGGGCGATAAACCCATCCCAGCACCCCCAGGTCCCGGGGTTTCTATTCTACACCGGGATCGGGATAACCTCTGCGGGTGGGTTGATATCCGCCTTAGAAAAACAAAAAAAAGCGTGATGATGTGATTGGCCAGCGGTGGTCATCTGTTCCAGGAGGGCATGCACCATATTCACTCGCGCGACTGTGTCAGAGAAAACGGACACACCTGCCGACGAGTATCAACTGAAGCGAAAACAATTACCATTATCCCCACGAATATCAACAACCGGAAAGACAAAAAAAAAAAAACTCCCAGCTCCCACGAACATCGACAAGAGCAATGGAATAAAAACCCCTCTCCCCAACCTACTCGTAAAACACCGGCAAGCAAAAAATACCCCTCTATCAACTCCCACGAATATCAACAGAGGCAACCAGCCCCACCCCATCCCCTTCCCTTTCCGTTGCCACGGAAACAAACAATGCTGCGGGAATCAAGAACGACCAAGCAATGCCCGCTGGCGTGGGCGTGGTGGGTGTAAAACATGCACGTGAGGAGATTGCGGTTATCTCGCGAACCACCCAGACCGCTACCAAAAAAAACAGAGCGCACGGGTCGTGATACCTAGCGTAAGAAAACCCAACGAAATCGTGACCAACCACATCGATCATCAACGTTTCAAAGCATGAGTGTAAAACATATACGTGAGGAGACTGCGGTTATGTCTCGGAAAACCACCCAGATCGCGACCAAAAAAACAGTGCGCACGCACGGGTCATACGATAGCTAGCGCACGTCACAGAACGAGTTCATAACGACAACCACATGCACGTTTTTCTCAAGCATCTCGAGCCCGACCGATGGAAAATGCGGAAGAACCCGGGGACGGCGGCGGCATCTCTTCCGTGAAACCGTCCCGGGACTTCCCGGCGGCGCCCCTGCCGCGGTCCAGGTCGCTCTCGGTCCACCCGCTGCTGTTCGAGCTCTTGCTGCTGAGCCTCCAAAAGACGCGCCTGCCGCCGCCGCCGCCCCCGCCGGCGATCGAGCCGCCGCCGCCGCCGCCGCCGCTGCCGCCTGCGGAGGCGGTAAGGCCGCCGGCGGAGCCGTTCTCCTCCGCCGTCTTGGCGTGGTAGTCGCTCTCTTCGTCTCCGAGGAGGGGACCATCGTAGGCGGTCCCCGGTGGGTCTGTGGAGGCGTTTCTCCGGGCGGCGTCGCTGAGCGCGGCGATGCACTTGAGGACGGCCGGCGAGCAGGGGCCGCCGGGGGGCCCGTCGACGAGATCTTTGGCGTGGAACAGGTAGGTCGCCGGCACCTTTTCGGGAGGAAAGATTGCAACGAGAGCGATGGAATCAAACAGCCCCAGGTGCAGATGCCGGAGGGACACGAAAAGCACGAGCGACAACAACAAACAGCCCATGCCGGGGGAACATCGACAACAGGAGCAACAACAACAAACAGCCCATTGCAGATGCCGGAGGAACATCAACGTTGACTGCAAGAGCACCGACAACAAACAGCCCCACCGCACAGACGCCGGAGGAACACTGAGCAACAACCGAGGAACATTGAACAACAACCGAGGAACATTGACAACAACAGACCATCCCAAATGCTGGAGGCAAACAAACGGATGGATGGGTTGTTTAGAGGTCCTTCTTCCGCTGGCAACAAGTCAAAAAACAATCCGAACGACAAACACCGTCACCCTACACCGTATGGCATGGAATGGATGGGAAGGCAACGGGATCGTGGCAAACGAACGAAACGCGCCGAACTGAGGCGTTCATCGGACCGGCAACCACGGCAGACGTGTTCCCCATTCCGTGAAAGCGTGCAGTATTCCATGGTGCAACCATCAGGGGTGACGCTCTCGAGGGAGAAAGGGTGACGGACGAAAAAATCGTACCAGTAGAGCGGATGTCTACCGTCACGTGGTATGGACGCGCGCATCATCGGGTCTACCAAGGGCATGTTCTACGGCACACCACCGCTGCAACCAAAAACGAAGAAGGGCGAGATATCGTTAAAGGAAACGAGAAGCAAAACAAAAAATCCACCGGACTCACCCCAATGGCTCTTGCAGCAGCCATGAAAGCGTGGACATTAACCAGCTGCAGCATCGGGGTTGTCGCCTCCAGGTCCTGAAACAGACACCAGACGTATCGCGCAGGGGGAGGGGGAGGGGTCGTACATCAAAGGATGTTTCAAACTTAGGTGAAGCAGCATATACTTAGTCCTCGTGCCTCACGTGCTTCCTGCGCAACAGCAGTAGTGCTTCCTCCGCAACAGGGTGGCTGAAGATAAAAAAGACTGGCCGATGGATCTATCCCACATCGGAGTGGTACCGTTTTGCCACACGAAGCGGGGGAAAATAAATGGTACTCCGGGCCCCACGCAAGCACCCCCCAGCAGTCTTCACACGACGACAACAACAGGGAGGGACCTAGCCCGAAGCGTTCCCTCTACACATGCGAACCACAATCCCACCACATTTCCCTCAAACCACAGCAAGCCCGTCGCACTGCTGTCCTCTCAACCGTTAACGTTAACTACAACAGGCCCACCCGTACTCCAACCCCAACCTCAATCCAACCCAACAAATTCCTCGAACCGGCAACCTTTAACAAGCCCACCCCCTAACCCTCTCGCCCTGTTCGCACCTCCGCACAGCCGGCCGCCCTGGCACCCCCGACAGCGTGGGCCAGCCTGACGAGCAGCCTCCCGTCCTTGAGCTCTTCCCCCAGACCACGACCTCCACTACCGACGGGCCCGTCATCGTCATCGTCTCCATCCTCCTCAACCAGGCCGAGTGCCCGCGGCCCAAGCACAGCGCGTACCCACTTCTTCACCATTTGTTCGCTGGGAATGCCGTCGGCTTCTGAAAACGTGGGGGGGGGGGGGGGGGGGGGGGGGGGGGGGGCCCCCCCCCTTTTTTTTTGGGGGTTAAAGTTTAAAACATTTTCCCCC